TAAATGACAGAATTCACACGTATACATATTTTAACAGACAACTACACACAGTATATTAGAAAAATATATGAAAAATGTGTGTTTGACTTTCTAACGGTTATTTCAACTGAAGTGACAAGACTCAAAATACTGATGTTGAATGTAAGGAGGTACAAGGCATAAAACAGTCGCACAGTGTATGTAACTTTGTTATGAAAGGCCCGTTTCGCTGTTTCAATAAAATTCGGTGAATTTTATGTTCAAAAATGTTTAAAACACAGACCCTTTAAACGACCAAAGTTCTCCGACCACACACACACACACACCACACACACACACCACAACACACACACACACCACACACACACACACAACACACACACACACACAAACACACACACACACACACCACAACACACAACACACAACACACACACACCACAACACACACCACACACACACACACACACACACACACACACACACACACACACACACACACACACACACACACACACACCACACACAATGACTGGAGACTAACGACAGGACCAGAAACGATCGTCCTTGAGGTCACGGCCACTCGTCTGCCCCCTTTAGTCCAGACAGGGGTGGCATATCGGAGCTAGACTTCGCACTTGACTGTGGTTGTGGACCCTTGTGTGTGTTGTTTGTGTTTGGTTGTGTGTGTGGTGTGGTGGTGTGTGTTGGGTGTGTGTGTGTGTGTGTGTGTGTGCATTTATGTATGTCATAACTTCAGGTTTCTGCTTTATCCTGTTTCTCATCAATATATCACAGGTCTCAGATATATCCAGAGCCTGTCTCTGATTGGCTGAAACACCAAACAGATCATTGCAGCATTACCCATAATCCCCTCTGTTTCAGCCCTGTTTCCAAAGTGCTGATTCTCTGTCTGTTACTTTAGATGAAAATAAGGAGCCCCTCCCCACGCCCCTCTGAGAGACATTTGGTTACAAAGAACTCAATGGAGCTCTAGAGGAGATTCAGGGTGGTAAGGTGGGCGGGGGAGGTAGAAGACATGAAGAAGAGGGACACCAGTTGATGTAGAAGAACATGAGAAGAGGGGAACACAGTGATGTT